TCAATGGAAATCTCTATTTAAAGTTTCCAACTGAATCAAAAGCATGTGTCTACGAGTGATGATAGTGCAGCCGTTTCGTGAAAAATTGTGTACTTTGTGATGAAAACATGAAACTTCGTACAGTCGTAGGTTATGACATTCCAAATAGTTAAAGATATGGGGCCAACCCCAAAATCGAACATGGCCGCCTTGGAGTGAGTGAGTGAGTGAGTGAGTTAGTGAGTGAGTGAGCTTTTAACATTATTCCAGTTATATCACGGCGTGTCACCTTAATGTGGGAGGAAAGCCCGAAGTGATGCAGGTCTCAGACGTTTACCACTTCGGTGAAACCCACGAGCACGGGTATGGTGCTGACAACCCTTGAAACATCATCGGGGCGAACCGGGATTCGAACCCACAATCATAGGTTTCTGGCGTGCCCAAGGGACGCAACTCTGCAAAGCGAAGCGCTGGGCCTTAGGCGACTGGGCCACCCGTGCCCCCTGGCCGCCTTGGAGGAATTAAATTCTTGTGTATCTCCCATTAACGTGACACACAACCTAAATATATCATGACGAAATATCATTGCACATAAGTACATGACTGTATCATAATAGACTATTTATCGTGATTTAGGAAATCTGAAGTGTGAAAAAATATGCATTTCTTTCTTCTTCGGCATATCTTCATAACTTACTTCACTGAAGCTAATTTAGTAACCAAAATGTTATAAGGGTATGGTCAACAACAGAATATTCAAATAACAACATTTGGATATATTGAAATATGTTGTACATGGCTAATGTTTTGGTTGGTTTCGCCACCACATTTGCAAAATGGTGTACAAATCAACTGTGCCATTTACACCTTGTTCTGCACGCCCTTGACAACTCCACCTCAGAAGCGTGTAGTCCATAAAAGCTCATAGCCATGTTCTACTGATCTTACCCATCCCCGCTCAGTTGGTGCGGGAAGGTCTGTTTCGGTCTCAACTGATGAAGTGTAGACCAGCAGGTAGAACACTGGCAAAACGAACCCGTATTACCTTACTCATCAACAAGAATGGCAAAATAATCTGCCACAGGAGGAGAGATACTCACTTGTCATGGAGGGGAAGCGCAGAGGCCCTTCACTGCTTGGAAAGTTCAAGAAGAGGATTGGAGATATCGTTCTAAAAAAGAAATTGTTTTGCAACAAAAGACGACTAGCTCTGAAAAGACAACATCATCAGATATATCAGTGTGAACAGAAGTTAAAATCTAACGTGTTCCACTGTGGCCTCCTTTTCTTTATGCTCTTGCACAAGCCTCATAAAGTTATGTCTTCATATTCAGGTTAGCCAAACAATCTTGTGGCAATATTTTTATGTCACGCATTTATTATGTGTGTATGTGTAAAATAAGTTATGTAACTTGTTGACTCATCATGCCATTGTTCACAGGAATCTGAATTTGTATGTTTCTTCTTATGTCAACATCCAATTTTGTTCAAATCGTTATGATTCGATTATTATTTCTGTGTAAAAATACCCCAAAAAATAATTCACAAACATTTTAATCTCAAGAATGACAAGACTAAGAAAGCTGAAACTTTGTTTGTTTGAATATGGCAACAATATTTGTGTGTGGTTTAACGCCACTCTCAGCAATATTCCAGCTATGTGAAGGAGGTCTTTGAAATAATCGAGTCTGGATCGACATCATGTTCATCAATAACCGCCATTAGGATACAACATGCATAAACCAAATCACCGATTCTGACCACCATATCCCGTTAGTCGCCGCTTACGACAAGCATAGGTTGCTGAAGACCAATTTCTAACCCGAGTCGTAATGGGTCATGGATACAAGAAGTTTCAAATCATCACTAAAGTCATGTAAAGTCATAACTGGTCTAGACGCAGAAGACTTTCTCTTTTCTTTTTCTGACACTCAGCATCAAAATAAGATCAAATAAATACAACAAATAAATAACGTTTAAGCTGACAAAAATTATGTACAAAATTCTTGTCACAAGTGCAGTTACTTATTTCTTATTTATCATTTTGTCCTCATTATTTAAACAGGAAATATTTGGATATCAATGGTGACAAAAACTTTGGTTAAGGGGCCATGTTGACATTTTAAACTGTTGACTACAAATCCAGGTGAGCTACAGTGCTGTGGCACTCATTTTTTATAACCGGATACAATTAAGTAAATAATAATTAGATACTTGAGCCCACCTGACTGAAGTCAAGTGAGGTTATGTCGCAGCGCATTGTCCGTCTTTCCGATTGTCCGTTGGTCTGTAACGTTCACATTCTCGACATTCGCCTCTATACACCTTTGGCGCTAGAACTTTCAATGAATGATATCAGTTGTGGTAGACGTGTTGAATCTCTTATGTTTACTCATGTAAATAATCATTTCGGGGTAAAATGAAAATTATATATGCTGCAAGTATGTCATGTGCGGAATAACATATACGTTTTGGGCATATATGTTTTTATCTTTGATCTATCTATGACATTTGACGTTCATGTACCCCCGTTGTTTCAAGTAATAGTAATAAGTACATTAAAAATTCCATTCACAAATTGAATGCTCACTGCGCTCCATTATTATTACCTCGGTAATGGATCAATGTGCCCTCCTTCCTCGGTGTCTGTTCTTAAAGTTCTAAGTTTATGAAGCTGTAATTTTGGCCGTCGTCAGTTAATGAGTGAGTGAGTATATTTTACGCCGCTTTTAGCAATATTCCAGCAATATCACGGCGGGGGACACCAGAAATGGGCTTCACACATTGTACCCATGTCAGGAATCGAGCCCGGGTCTCCGACGTGACGAGCGAACGCTTTAACCACTAGGCTACCCGACCGCCCATCAGTTAATGAACATGCTGTGAGGATGTCTGTTCAGTAGAGACTTCTTTTATTTCTTTTGATTGTACTTGGTTTTGCCCTTGAATGATATGACCTTTCTGATCTAATGTAATATTCCGTAACATTTCAGGTGAATGTCAGGGCATTGTGTTTTATCATCCAAAACTGGCTCCCACGAGAGATATCGCTTGGGTGAGATCAAGCGATATCTACGCTGTAGATATCGCTACAATGAAATTGCATCACAATGCTTTGCCGACCATGGTAACAATGACGTCACAATCAAATGACATCACTAATGTAACGTCACTAATGGCTCTGCTACTGAAGCTGTTAGCAGTACTTTTTACACTGAAGACACTGCTAATTACTGTCTACAAATTGAAAAAGTTGGAAAAATGATGTTGGATGGTAAATAAAATCTCACCCTCGTGTCTTTTGATATCAAATATATCAACACTCGTTGATAAAAATGGAAAAACTTTTTTCCACTTTTATCAACTCGTGTTGATATAATTTATTTGATATCAAAAGACACTCTGGTGAGATTCTCTATGTGTTTGTCTTACTTTACCATCTTCGGTGTTACTGAATACTCCCCGGTATAGGAACCTGCATGAAGGTCACTGATAGTCTGAACACCACTTTACAAGACCGTCACAGGCAAGAGACAGGACACCTTCAGGACTGAGTGTTGCACTAAAGTAGTCATTACGCGAAAGTCATCTCCCACCACTAATGGTGGATCTACATGCAGTTATGAAATCATACATTCGCTGGATCAGTGTGCCTGTCTGTTGAGATTATGGCTGATGTCACAGCAGAGTTCAGTCGAACAGACAAGGAGAGTGAATTAATCAGTGAATATTACATTTTTTACGCAACAGTCAGACCTGTTTCTTCATTTTAGGGAAAGCAGTTCAAATAAATTGATAGAAACGTCACAGATATTCATATTCCTGAAGCTCCAGCCCTTGGTATCTACATTTCACAACTTTTGAGGTACAATCGCACATGTTGTTTCTACAAAGATACCAATAAACTTCATACGACTCTTGCTCAGAAATGTTTTGATCAAGGCTACAACATTCAAGGCCTTAATTAGGCTTTCGAAAACGTTTTATTGTAGACATGTGGAGGACATTTCCAAATGTGACGCTTCATTAACAAAAGTCATGCAATTTTGACTTGTACCATTTCTCGTTTTTTGTTTAAGAGAAACAATTGAATTACCTTTGCATGTGTTTTTGATGGGTGCCACCGGTGGGGCAGGATACGCTGCCCTTTTTGCCAACACCCGGTATCATCACTATTTGATACTGGTTCATAAACCCATGCTCATGATATAGTCGGAATCGTACTATCGACTCTGATTTGAGCAATGATTTTTTATTGCTTATCTTTTTTTGCGAACACCTGGTGTCATCATCGATTTTCAGTGATCCATTCATATAGCTTTTACCGATTTTTTCCCTTAAACACAGTGGAATCTGTTTCGGTGGATGATCAAGACTGGTTATTCCTTGGCGTTGATAATTTATATTTATGATTATGGAAAGAGTTTTGTTGCTTTTATTGGCAAGGTTTAGTTTTACACCACTCGTCACTATTATGACGTCACACTGCTCATTCTGGTGCAGAAAATGACCTTACAGTTGGATGCAGAAAATTCATGCTCGCTGCGGCCCTAAAACTTCCTACTCTTAGTCAATTACCCATCGTTTTTTTCAGGTCAAAATGTATTTTCACGCATACTTTAAATATTGTGGTATTTGAAACTTATAACTGTACATGTGATTAATTTTAAATGCATTCTGACAATGACTGAGAAAGAAGTACCTTATTCTAAATATTTGCTTTGGGGTGAAGTGGTCGTCAAATCGGTTGTTTCAATCAGAGGCGATCATTTTATACCTCTCATTAACTTATCAGAATAGAGTAATTTCCAAAGTCATGGTAGAATTGGTGTTCAATGCCGCATTCATCAACATTCCAGTCTGTGACGGCGCTCAATACATGTTGAAGGTCAACCTATGTTTTTCTCGGCTATGACTTTATGGGCCTACCTTTTTGTTTAAGCTTTACGTGTATGTTTGTGTATGTGTTTATTGTTTAACCCAGTAATCGATCATTGGGGTATCACAATGAAACATCAGACCATTGTTTTTTTCTTTATTTGATGCGTACATGTATGTGTATAACAATAACCTAAAATGTTTGGTAGATTGTTGTTTTGTTCCGGGATTTATTTGCCACTGAAATAAAATAAAAAAGAGTTAGTACCAAACGAATTTAAGTAACTTTCAGAAAAGCTAGGTTAATCATTAAATAACGTTCGTTTCACAGAAATTTACAGATCTCAATTCTACATCGGCCTTCCTCAATATTGAACTGACACGAAGTTATATTCTTGAAATACTCGTAAACTTCAACTCTCTCATAGACTTGCTCAATCTAGAGTTTTATCACCCTTCTCTTGATGAAGAACTAATATAAAGGCATTCCTTATCCTTACGTCCACAGAGGCAGTGCCAATCGTAGCAGTGGTGTTCAAGCTTCAGTTCAAGCTTCAAAATTATACAATATGTTTCATCCAAAGACGTATGGATGTAACAGATGTATTACGTTGTTGATCACCATCTAAAGTCACGATTTAATAAAACACCTTACCGGTTATTTCTCTTAGGGTAGAATCGTCCTGGTTACTTACATGCCAGGTCCAAATCCACGTCCACAGAGACAGTGCCCATCGTAGCAGTGGTGTGACGCACGGCTGTCTCTACATCTGCAGCCGTCGCAGTCGGCACGGACTGTGCAATTGGCTGTAAAGTCAATTTCCTTCATTCAATGTTAGGTATATTGACTCAGTATCTGTGTGTTTGAAGATTTGGAGAAATGTATTTTTATTAGAGATACGTTGAAATAGCGTCTTTGAGTTTGGATGAAAATACAGGTATATTTGAAGGATACTACTTCATATGCTTTGATCATGTGGTTCAGATGAACCGCCCATACTTCTAATGCCTCTCGGTCACGGGCCCTTGCGTCGTTACTTAAATATATCTTGATCTCTTAATATTACACGAGTTCCAGAAATACACTATACCGTTATTTCTTTACACAAGACTACACACTCCGTATGACAGTGCTCTATGTCTATCGATCCCAAATTAACTCCCAAGTCTTTTTGGCTATTACATAATATCGATAGCAGACCCAGTGGACACTTTAAAACTCAAACACAAATGTCCATCACTCCCGCTCAAAATTGGGGTTTGTCAGAAAGAAGCTCTCTGATTAGTGGATATTGTGTGATAGTCGTTTATATATTTTGGGGCAATTCAGTTTGTAAAACTTCATCTGCCTAGCCTGAAAGTCTGACTGCTAAACAGCACTAGTTCATTGCTAGATTGGTGTAAGTGAACAGTTTGGCCAAGAAGTACTGAACGGTCCTTGAGTTATGACCAGGAAACAAAACGTGACGGGTTGGGGACGGATGTCGGACATAATCTAATTTTCCCACTTTCAGATCACTTTCGGGGATAATTAAAACAGGTCACAAAACTACTACTACTACTACTAGTACTACTACTACTACTACTACTACTACTACTACTACTACTAGACAAGCCTAACTTGAGCCCAGGAACCGACTTTAGTTTGAGGAGTGCGACTGTGGCTTGCCATATCAGCATCTGTTCAGCATACAGAGTGTTAGCCGTCGAAATAAATATCAGTTTTGTTGATGAACAGACCTTGTGAGCAGGAACCAGACGAGACTGCACCGATGACAAACAGTCATTAATGTGTTAATCTTGTCAATTTGATAACAAAAACATGATATAACCCATAATAAGAAACGAGTTCTCGAAAAATGGTCAATACCTTGAGCGCCACTTATCGTAAACACTGTCTAAACGTTATCATACCTTGAGCACAGGAACCAGATGTGGCGGAAGTCAGGCAGGTACATTCTCCATGAGAGCAGCCCAGCTTTGAGGAACTATCACAGGTCAGGTGATCACAGTCTTTCTCATCCCTGCAGGTCTCGCTGTAGATAACAGCTGAAAGAAAAACAGTGTCCAGTGAAATCGTTTTTCAAGGTTTGCTTCGTTTTGAACTTTATGATTCAATGTGCTGTGGATCACAGCTGACAAAAAATGGACACCAAAAACGGGTTTCAAAAGTCTTTCATTTACTTGTTTTTAACTATTTATATTTTCATTTAGTTTTAACATCTTCGGTTTAACTTAATACTCCTTTTACGGAATCCTAGGTCCTTGTACTGGTTTGCGAGTTATGGTCTGAACATTACTCACCAACAACGGCACACGCAAGGGCAACAGACACGGCAAACTTCATGACTGAGTGGTTCACTTAAGTTGTTTTCAGAGGTGAAACACTCGTTTGCTTTTTATATGGCTTCAGTATCAGCACCTATCCTTTTTGAGAAAGTCACGATTGTTTAATCTCTTAATGAGTAGGTCAACTACCTGCAGTTATGAATTCCAGACCTCGCTGGTTTGGTCTGGGTGTTGAGATAACGGTTAAAAATTTAGACACCGAAGTTCATGTTTGAGGTTAATCTTTAAGAAGGAATCTGACCTGTTATACTCAGTATTCACGGTGGATGGGTGGGTGGCAGAGGGGGCTATTCTAGTAAAATGAAAGTGAGATGACCTTAAATGAGGTTTAACGTCGCGTTCAAGATTACTGCACTCTTATAGCGACGTGCATGCAGCAACATATGCGACAAGTGACAACTTATACATCGGCGTATTGTCTCCATTGTTAGGTATGGTGACGTTGAATACAATTGTTTAACTATACATTCCCGTTGTGTTTTGTTTCAGTCAATTTCACTCATTGAGTGATAACTCGACCCTCAACAGAGATATTACTTTAGATGAAATACGCTCAGCTATCTCGCGACTGAAGCGTAATAAATCCTCAGGCCTTGACTTAATTGAAAATGATTATTGGATTGATTCAATTGATATTCTGGGTGACCTTTACGTTTCGTTTTTTAATTTGATTTTATCCACTGGTGTTATCCCTGACTCTTGGTTGACGGGAGTGATTCGCCCAATATATAAGAAAAAAGGTGACTCTCTTGACCCGAACTCTTACAGGCCCATTACCATTCTGAGCTGTTTAGGAAAGTTATTCACTTGTCTTTTGAATTCCAGATTAAATAGTTACTAACAATCAAATGAAATTCTTAGTTCATCACAGATTGGCTTTCGAGAAAATATGTCAACACTTGATAATATATTCATCTTAAATATGCTAGATCAGTATTTCAAAAAATCAAAACGAAAACTTTTTTGTGCTTTTATCGATTTCACAAAAGCGTTCGACAGTATTTGGAGAGTAGGCCTCAAGATGTTATCCCATAGAGGGGAGATTCCTCAAGTTAGTGAAAAACATGTACAGTAATATAAAATCTTGCGTTATGGTTGATAATAAATTTCTAACTTCTTTTATAGTTTTTCCGGGGTTCGACAAGGACAAAATCTCTCTCCATTATTATTTTCGATTTTTCTCAATGATTTAGATGTATATCTTGAGAGCAAAGTTTGTGGGGGCGTTGACATCAATTGTGTTCATGATGATTATGTGTATATGTGTATTAAATTCTTTATTTTGTTGTACGCAGATGATGCGATACTTTTAGGTGAATCCCAGAAAGATCTCCAAAATTCTCTTGATGTGTTCAAAAAATACTGCGATGTGTGGAAACTCAATGTTAACATTGCCAAAACTTACATTATTATATTTGGAGGCGTAGGTAAAAAATCTAAATTATCTTTTCAATTTGATTCTAAACCAATTGAAATTGTAGATAATTATACGTATCTAGGTATCAACTTTCATCGCAATAGGAGATTTAATACCGCAATAAACGATTTACTGTCCAGCTCTAAAAAGGCCATGTTTGCACTCCTGAAAAAATCAAGAAACCTCAATCCAGCACTTGATACTGTTATCCAATTGTTTGATATCTTAATACTACCTATAGGCTTGTATGGATGTGAAATATGGGGTTGTGAAAATGTTATAAACATTGAAAATTTTCACCTTAAATTTCTAAAGTTTGCTACTGGGTTGCGATCAACTCCTAACTTTATGGTTTACGGTGAACTTGGACGTTTTCCTGTGAACATTACAATTGCTAAAAGAATGATCTCATTTTGGTATAATTTAGAAACCATATTTTCTCCTTTCAAGTTGTCATCACGCATCCTTCAACTGTTCAAATTAGATCACACCCTCATTATTAGTAATGTATGGATATCTCACATAAAAAGTATTTTAAACAGTTGTGGCTTGACCTATGTATTTGATAATCCTGGTTGCGTTTGTAAACAGTGGCTTGTCTCTATGGTAGAAACAGTATTTAAAGATCATTTTATACAACAATGGAGGGATGATATAGATAAAAGTTCAAAAGGTAATTACTATAAATTGTTCAAAGATCTACCGTCGTTTGTGTTATGTTAGTTATTCCTTCAAAATCAGGACGGACGCAGGAGTGTGTTTGAGACACGCTTATTCGTGAGGGCTACATCATGACAACTGTGGTTGTCTCCCTTTATGCATACCACTACACACACACCCCTTCCAGGAGAAAGCAAGTTAACAATACTGTTAACTTTCAACTGTGCCTTGACAATGAAACATTATAATGCATATAAACAAAACAATCAAGATTCACTCACATAACATTGTGAACACAGCTTTAGCATACCCATGACCTCAGGGTTACAGAATAATAAATCTCTCAACCATACACAATGAATACTGACTCACTTGTCAAACTTTAAATGAGAGAAAGTCTTAGTATCTATCTGGCTTTCTTGAGATCCTGCCAGATCGTGTTATGTAAACTGAGGAGTCATTTGTTTGTTTCAGACATGGATGAGGATTTGGTTCAGGTGAGTGTTGTTTTTCAGGCACATTCGGAACTTGCTTTTCAGGAACATTTGGTAACAAGTAAATGTCACGTCTATTCCGCCTATAGGTTCCATCGTCAGTCTTTACGAGGTAAGACCGAGGGCTTAGCTGTTTGAGCACAGTACCTGTTTCTTTCCTGTCTGGTACCCATGCATTACCCCCCTTTGCAAAACAGGAAGCGCACAGCATGGCGACGATTGAAGTTATATTCCTGCTTTTTCTGTTGATGTTTCTCAAAGTTTACAAACTTTTGTTTCACAGGTGGATGAACTTCAAGTTTCTTTTCATGATTGGCAGTTTTGTGTGCAGTTTCCTTGACATCAGCAGTTCAACTGGGCTGTAACCACAACTGAGTGGGGTTGATCGGTAGCTGAGAAGAGCTGAATACGGATCTTCTGCTGAATGTTACAGTCTTTATAGTGCGCACAGCGCGTTCAGCTACTCCATTCCCAGATAAATGTCCAGAACTGCTGGTAACATGAGAGAAACCATAGTCTCGACTGAAGTTGTCAAACTCTGAAGAACTGTTCTGAGGACCGTTGTCAGAAACTAGAATCTCTGGCACACCATGTCTTGCAAAGATACTTTTAAGCGAGTGGATAACTTCTTTTGAAGATGAACTTGACAGTCGGACAATTTCTATGAAACGGGAGTAATAGTCCACCACAAGAACATACTGGTTCTTTTTAAACTCAAAGAGATCTGAGGCAACTTTTTGCCAAGGTCTTTCAGGAGTTTCAGAAGTTATCAATGGTTCATGGTGGTTGTCCATTTTCTTACAGCATACATGACACTTTGACACAAATTCAGCGATCTGTTTGCTTAAATTTGGCCACCAAACACATTGCTTTGCACGTTCACGAGTCTTTGTGATGCCTTGATGTCAATCATGAAGCTTTTCCAGGATGGTTGGCCTTAGTGTTTCAAAAATCACAAGCTTTTCACCACAGAGCAAGAGATCATCTTGAATGGTAAGTTCAGCTTGATAAAGCCAATAGTGTTTAGCAATGCCTTTGATCATGTGTTTTTCAGGCCATCCTTCCAGACAATATCGAGTGATCTCCTTGCAGATGTCATCCTCTTTCTGATGAAGTCTGATTTCTTCCAGTCTCCGATCTGAAGCTGGAAAAGAGTGGAGAATGTGTTCAACATACACTTGTCCATCTGCTTCAAGAGTCTTGTCTGAACTAGACTGAGATGCTACTTGAGCTCGAGATAGAGCATCAGCTGTATAGAGATCACAACCAAGCACATGTTCAACGGTATAGGAGAACCTCATTAGTCTCATCCTGAATCTTTGGATCCTTGGAGGGAGTTGATCAAGATCCTTCAGACCTAGCAGAGGAACGAGAGGTTTGTGATCTGTTTCGAGAAGAAAGTCTATACCAACAAGAAAGTCCTGAAATCGTTCACACGCCCAAGTCAGCGCCAACGCTTCTTTTTCTATCTGCGCATAGCGTGATTCGGTTTCAGAGAGGGACCTTGATGCATATATGACTGGTCTCCAGCCACTTGTGGTTTTCTGAGTGAGGACTGCACCAAGACCAAACGAAGATGCATCAGCTGTAACCTTGGTTGGTAAGTTCGGATCGAAGAGTGCTAGCACTGGACTGCTACTGAGGGCTTGCTTGATCCGAGAGAATGATTCTTGTTGAGGCTTATCCCATGTCCAGACAGATTTGTTGTTGAGAAAACCTCTGAGTGGCTTTGTCATATCAGCTAGATTGACGACAAACTTTCCAAGTTGATTGACCATTCCAAGAAAGCGCCTGACATCGCCTACATTCTTAGGTTCTGGCATGTCTTTGATTGCTGAGACTTTGTCCTCACTGACTTCGAATCCCTTGGCACTCACAGTTTGTCCTAGGAACTGGATCTGTGACTTTCCAAATTCACACTTATTCTGGTTGAGTGTTAGCTTCACGAAAAGCTGTCAGAGTGTTCTTTAAATGTTTATCACGCTCCTCTCCAGAAGCATCATATATTATCACATCATCCATGATGCCAGCTGTTCCATCCAAACCATCAAGAGTTTTCATCACTTGCTTCTGGTAGTATTCTGGAGCGGAAGTTATTCCGAATGGGAGTCTTTTATAGCAATATCTCCCGAAAGGAGTCATGAAGGTTGTCAACAGTGCGGATCTCTCAGTCGGCTTCACTTGATGAAATCCTGAGTTAGCGTCTATCTTTGAAAAGATCTTGGCACCAGCTAACTGACCTAGTGTGTGATCAACTGTCGGAAACATGTGACGTTCCCGCTGAACAGACTGATTCAAACGACGCAAGTCCACACATATCCTGACATCCCCTCGAGGCTTAGGCACTACTACCATAGGAGCACACCAGTCTGTAGGCACATCGACTGTGGTGATGACACCCAATTCTTCAAATTTCTGCAGACTTTCCTTGACCTTAGGGAGAACTGGAGTTGGAACACGCCTTGGTGTGGTGACTGCGTAAGGTATGGCACCTTCACGTAGTTTGATGTTGTACTCGCCCTTCATTTCACCTAGACCTCGGAAGATTTCTGGGAACTGAGACTTCACCTCTTCAGTTGTGATACTCCTACAAAACTTCACTAGACCCAGCTGTTCACTTGCATTGCAGCTGAGAAGTGAGTGTGTCTTTCCACAGAGAACATAAACCTTGTCCTCTAAGGTGTTATCTCTCCACTCGAGCTTGACACTGAAGTAACCATGCAAGAACCTAGAGTTCACTCTGGATTCCATGAAGGATCCTCTTGGTTTGCATTAGAGGTTTGTCGGGGAAGTACTTGTTATATAGTTGTTCAGATACAACGTTCACGTTAGCACCTGTATCCACTTTGATTGTGACCTTTCTTTTGTCCATGAGTATATCGACAAAGTGGTTTTCTCTTCGGTTTGAACTGGTACCATCAACCGAACCCAAGAACAGTGATTCTAGACTTTCAGATGCATCACTAGAGTAGGTGACGTCATCATCTACAGTTCTGACGTAACTATGAGACCTGCACACTGATGAGTAGTGTCCACGCTTCTTGCACGAATTGCAGATAGCATTCCTAGCTGGACAGGCTCTTCTATCATGTGCGTCTTTGCCCCAATACGAACAGCTGTCGTTTCGTTGCCTATCATTCCGGTTAGGAGCCTGGCGAGCATGACTAGGAGGTTGACGAGAGGGCTTATCTCTACTGCTTGCCTTTGACTTGTGACCTTGATAATGGCCTGTAGTCTTCTTCTTGAGAAAGCCAACAGCAGCAGGAGTTTCTTCTTGTAAAGATTTAGCATGTAGCTCACTCATTTCAGCAGTTCGACAAATATCAAGGGCTTTCTCCAACGTTAGATCATGTTCTCTAAGATGTCTAGATCGAACTTCATCACTTATAATCCCTAGCACAATCCGGTCTTTAACGAGTGAATCATGTAACTGACCAAATTCACAAGTTGCACTTTTGTTTCTAATATCAGTGTAGAAAATATCAAATTTCTCTCCTGGAGCCTGGTTTCGACTTCCAAACACAAATCTTTCATATGTAATGTTCTTTCTTGGATTACAATAATCCGTGAATTTCTGCAGAAGAACTCCGACTGATTCATGATCTGTCTCGTTTTCAAATTCAAAAGTATTATACACTTGTCTGGCTTCTTTTCCAATAACATGTAGAAATGTATTAGCTTGAATTTTCTCAGGTTTCTTATCCAATCCGCTGGCAATTGAATAAATTTCAAATTCTTGTTTAAATGTTCTGAAGTTTTCAGCAATATTTCCTGTCAATTCAAGTTCACAAGGTGGTTTCAAATTATTCATTATAAATCAAAACAGCACAAGTTAACAGTCTATAAAATATGCCTGGTGAGAGAGCACTTTAAAGAGACCGCCAGACGACGAGTGAGACAAGTTGAAAACAATGTTGGAAGTCTAGCGAGAAAAGCGTGCAAAACGTGAGCCAGTGAAGCCTTGCGCCAGGACGATGACTGCATGCGAGAGAGGCGATCCACATAAAGCAAACTCCAGGACGATTGTTCACGTAGTATTATGTACTGTTAAATACTTGAGTGTGCTGAAGGACGATGATTGCCAAGCCACTTGAAATATTGAAACAGTTCGTTTTGAGTTCCAAATAAAGTTTTTGACATAGAACTTTCGAGTACCTTTTTGGTATGATATCCGTTAGGTCCTGTTTTGACACCATCCCACTTCTGACACCATGTTATGTTAGTTATTCCTTCAAAATCAGGACGGACGCAGGAGTGTGTTTGAGACACGTTTATTCGTGAGGGCTACATCATGACAACTGTGGTTGTCTCCCTTTGTGCATACCACTACAGTTTTAAAAATACCTCCTGCTACCTGATTATTTCTCTCGACCTATTATGTCATTTCGGACATCGAATCATTATTTACCTGTAGAGACAGGCCGCTGGAAAAATATACCCAGAATCAATAGAAATTGTAACCTATGTAGCTCACCGGCGATAGCCGACGAGTTATATTATTTATTAAAATGCTACTTTTTTGATACCATGAGATCACATTATTTTCCAATTTATCTTTGTAAATGGCCGAATCTCGCAAAGTTCAAAGTTTTGTTTACCTCAAATAATTGCTTAATCGTGAAAAATATCTTCAGATTTATAAGAATTATTAATAATGCTGTTAGAAGATGAGTACAACACTATAATCTACAACTTACCAAGTGATCACTACAATTTATTGTTTATGTTAAAACTTTATATGTATTGTTCCTGTACCACCTATGGTGGTTTGTTGGAATAAAACATTGATTGATTGATTGATTGATTGACTGATTGAGAGAGCAATCCAAGCGCACGATAACAAGCTGTCAACCAGGTCAGAGAGCCTGACACTTTAACCGCCTCATACGACCTGCAAAGAGTAAATTAAATGCTTGAAATATTCTGTCAAGCACAAAGTACAGAAATATCATTACGTGTCTTTGTATATGAAACAGTTAGAGATGAGACTCCCACATAACACATGTCTTAATAAAAAACAACTAATTTCACAATTAATAATTCAGTGTGGTTACTTAATACTACTAATACTCCTCATCTCGTTAAATTTATGTTTAGTCCATAATAGTAGAGTAAGTGAGTGAGTTGGGTTTAAAGCCGCTTTTAACAGTATTCCAGTTATATCACGGCGTGTCAGCTTAATGTAGGAGGAAAGCCAGAAGTCATGCAGGTCTCAGACGTTTACCACTTCGGTGAAACCCACGAGCATGGGTATGGCGCTGACAAACCTAGAAACATAATCGGGGCGAACCGGGATTCGAACCCACAATTACAGGTTTCTGGCATGTCCAAGGACGACTGGGCCACACGTGCCCCCTAATAGTAGGGTGAGCTTTTGGAAATCAGAACCTGAATACGCGAAAAGGTGGAGTCGTTTCCCTCTTGTTGTGTTCAAATGGTGGTCGCAGCGGTTAAACTTCATTGATATCACGCTATTACCTGACTTGCCTTCACTTCGTTGGGCCAATATGTACGAAAGAGCTCCATGTTGACGTTTGGAGTGAAATCGTACGGGAATACATACATAAAGGATAAAGAAATGATAATTTACCATCTGATGTGTAGTTAACCCACACATACATTATTACTCAAATGAGCACTGATTTAATGACTATCTTAACATTATCACATGTAGGTACGTATAATGTATCAACATTCGGAAACATTATAAAGTGATATTACTGTGTTAAGTACATATTCTTACTTCACCACATTGCCATCTATCTTCCTCTTGGCAAGTTCAAAGTCTATATTGGCCTGGGAGGTTGTAAGGTGAGGTGAGGTGAAGTTTGGTTAAACGTCGCATCCAAGATTATTGCACTTATATAGCGAAATGCATGCACGTGTATGTGTGTGTGTGTGGCTGCTTGTACTTGTCAGGACTGATGCCGATTTATAGTGCTAGCACACTGAGATACCATGTCGCAGTTTTAACATGAATACCCAACTCAGACACAGTATACTGACTCCGAGCCGACCAGTCCTTGTTTTAACCCCTTAATGCCGAGCGCCAGACAGGGTAACAACAAGTACCATCTTTAAACGTCTTTTGGTATGTCGCGGCCGGGGATCGAACCCAGGACCTTCCGCTCTCCGGGCGGACGCTCTACCACTAGGCCACGGAGGCGGTCTGGGAGGTTGTAGGTATATGTACCACGTACGTCATAATTACGTGTTGACGATTACGTATTACGCTAAAACATGAGCGTATCCTTCAACGCCGTTGACATCCGTCACAAACAAATGCAAAGCCATGTCAACAGTTCACTTGAGGGGCGGTCGGGTAGCCTAGTGGTTAGAGCGTTCGCTCGTCACGCCGAAGACCCGGTTTCGAATCCCGACATGGGTACAATCTGTGAAGCCCATTTCTGGTGTCCCCCGCCGTGATATTGCTGGAATATTGCTAAAAGCGGCGTAAAACCAATCTCAATTTCACTCACAATCACTTGAAAAAAAACCTCCACGTCCCCGCAATTAAACATTTTGAAGGCATTACTGAGGCCTTGAACGTTGTAACAGTGAACGAACAACCTTTGGGAAAGAGTCACATGACGTTCTTTGAAATCTTCGTAGAACGATCATATCCTCGATTGCACCTCAATTGTTGTGAAATGAAAACATCAAAGGCTGGAGCTGAAGGAACAGTGCTCGAGAAAGAGGTAAAGTTGACTTTTTGAAAATTGAAGTCATCCCTCTTGAGAGTTTATTTTGTCACTCAGAATCGTTATTCATAGATCTGAATATGAAGCAGATGAAATTAAATCGAAGACATTGTGAAAAATGTCACTTAAAATGAGAAAGTAGTCAACAATACTACTTACTGGATGGGATATGAATGTATAATTTGCAGGCGAATCTTCTTTTGAGAAAGCAATTTTCCCAGTGTTGTAATACTCTTTCGAAGTAAGCTAAATATGTATTGTTAAAAAAAACACTGTCACCCGCCAGACCAACGTCCGAGATTATCGAATCGTTTGGCGTCACTATGAAATAGGCCATCAGCTGAAATACATTTTTCAATAGTTGGTTTGCATTTAAACACATATTTTAAATCAAGCAAACGTTTCGATTTAAGGCCATGTATATTCTAGGAACACGTGTCAAGTTCATCATTGTACTTGGGTGTTGATCAGTTGATTCTGATGACTCCATGAGGCCACGGCAACTGTTCTGCTTCCGTCTAGTGTTACACTTGGATGATGATGAACTGGTAGTCAGTTGGCCACCAGCGGAAAAGAGGCTTTGTTACGACGTAAATTGTAATAAAAAGGTAAATTGTAATACTTGCAGCAAATTGTAATAATTTTGACGTAAATTGTAATAACAACGTAAATTGTAATAAAATTTGACGTAAATTGTAATACGCAAATTGTAATAAAAATTGACGTAAATTGTAATAATCTAAACTTGTGGTAAAATGTAATAACTTTTTACGTAAATTGTAATAACCTTATAAGTTTAGTGCCAAAGGCGTTAAATGACTAGAACCTATCCTTGTCAGAGTTGGTACAGGGTTTATCGTACAATTGTCATTAAAGTATGGGTGTGGGGGAGGATTGAGGTCGTTATCGTGAATTGTTGTATAATTATATGTATATATAAACGCATTGGAATTTCATTTCTATGGTTGTCCAGAAGAGGATTAATTACTAGAATGAACTTAGTTTTCTTATTTATTTGAGAAATACTCTGTGTGTTTTGTATTATATTTTGACGAAGAATTCAAATACATCAAATGAGTGACAAATCTCCTGTGCAATGTCAAATGAAAAAAAACAGTCGTCAGCAAATGCAGCATAGATTTCCCATGCATGGGAAAGGAGAATACTTAATACATAACATTATATCCAATGTTTTTATTAATATCAAAAGAGGGGCGTGGATATTTTTTACCTACATTGCATATACTATTAGATATTGTGTATTCTCGATCTCTGTGAACTTCTCACAGATAAAGAAATAATAATAAATAAATGCAAACCATGTTAACTTATGCAATATTTGTAGCAATATATGATTAACATATGGATAATTAATATAGCCTAAAATATTTCCTTTCATAACAAGAAGTATATTTAATGAAATAAATGAATAAATGTAACTGTCTGGATTCCTTTCATATGTCATGAAGAACTAACAACAACTTACTAACAACTTTTGCTGGGATAATAACTCCTTGCCCCAACAACAAAAACAGAATCCATCATGATAACGGCACGAAATCATAATTCAAAGCATACAAAAATAATATCCGGTATCTTCGGGCATGTCTTGTTGAGTTTCAAAGAGCATCAGAATGTATAATAAAATTTGTTGCAATCAATTATTGCTGAAATATATTTGTTTTGATCAAAATTGAAAGGATGGAAAATCTATAATGAAAAGGGTTTTGTCACTAACGTAAATATTCTCTTTGACCTTATACGAAGAGTACTCTAAGATCATTAAACTCAACAGTCGTTGATTGATTGCGCCAAGCAACCTTGATGCCAAATTTGGTACCTCACGTATAATGCGGTACATAATTTTCGAAACAGATAATTACGTTTTTCATAAGTTATCACTAATTTGTGACATATATACGGACAAAAATTACCTCAGAGGATAATCTTCTCTGGGGGTTTAAGAGGATTTAAATAATTCCAGCTAACATCAAGCACTGTAATACAATATTGAAGTTATAGTATACCATCTTAACATTCCAATGAAAAGAATAGTGACTAACTAAGAAACCAAATTATATTTATCTCCGATACTATGCCCTCATCAGTATACACACACACACACACACACATACATACACACATACATACAAACACATACACACATAGGTATGTATGTATGTGTGTGTTTGTGTATGTGTTTATGCATGTATGTATGTATGTATGTATGTATGTATGTATGTATGTATGTATGTATGTATGTATGTATGTATGTATGTATGCATGTATGTATGCCAGTAAATACGACCTCTATATGTCATTGGTATCAGATCTATGACTGCACTTCTACATATAGTTCCAAGTGAAAGATGAGTGACACTACTTTGTGAGAGGTCCCACAAAAATGCTGATATGAGCAATTAAAGGTTATGCAAAATGTAACAAATGAACAAAGTAAGATATTTTAAAAGATAAAATAGAAACACAAACCTGTAGATATACGAATTAGAATGTAGCAAATACATTAGATAAACGTATCTTCTACGTAGACAAAAGTATGTCCAACAAAGACAAAAGTATATTCTTCGTAGATAATACGTTTTTCATTTTTTATCACTAATTTGAGACGGACAATAATCCCCTGAAAGCATAACTTCCTCTGGGGGTTTAAGAGGATTAAAGTAATTCCAACAAACAACAAGCACTGTAATGAAATTACAACATACTTTGTTAAATTCTGATGAAAAGACTAGTAACTATCTAAGAAACCTCAGATTGGGCCTCATCAGCATAGACACACAAACACAAACACACACACACACGCACGCACGCACGCACGCACACGCACACATATACATTCACACATACACACACACACACAGATACAGACACAAACACGTGTTGCACACACTACATACCCATACAAAAACACCCCCACACAAACACTATATGTTTGTATACATGTACGTATGTACGTGTGTGTGTGTGTGTGTGTGTGTGTGTGTGTGTGTGTGTGTGTGTGTGTGTGTGTGTGTGTGTGTGTGTGTGTGTGCGCGCATGTAGGTGTGTATGTAATGACAGTAAATGTGAGCTCTATGTCATTGGTATCACATATATGACTGCACTTCTACATACTCTAGATGACAGTATCATGTACGTAGATGTAAGTATGTAAGTGGACGATAGTATCTAGATGGCATACTATCATCTACGTAGAAGATACTATCATATACGTAGATGAAAGTATCTTCTACGTAGATGAGAGTATCTTCTACGCAGATGATAGTATTTTCTACGCAGATGGTTGTATCTTCTACGTAGATGATAGTATTTTCTACCCAGATGGTTGTATCTTCTACGTAGATGATAGCATGCCACAAACATCACATCACTTCCAATATGTCTTTCACTATGTTGATACCACCCTTTAATGACGATTGTACGATAAAGCCTATACCAACCATCCCTAACTTAACAGTTTAGTACGTTTGTCATCATACACAGTATTTCTCGAATTGTACATGTGAAACACAAGCTCAACTGACAAAGATCATGTCTAGTCAATTGACGTCTTGGACACTACGGTAGTAAGGTTATTACAATTTACGTAAGAATTTATTACATTTTACCGCAAGTAGAGATTATTACAATTTACGTCAATTTTTATTACAATTTGCGTATTACAATTTACGTCAAATATTATTACAATTTACGTTGTTATTACAATTTACGTCAAAATTCTTACAATTTGCTGCAAGTATTACAATTTACCTTTTTATTACAATCTACGTCGTAACAGGCTTAGTTTAGATTTTCGTTCCCACATTTTCCTGTATACCTTAAACCTTTTCTATTGCATAAAGGAGGTATCTGTACACAATTGTCATTGGGTAGTACGCTTGGAAGTGTGTGCAGGAATTTTCAGGGGGTCGAAATTGCATAAAATGAAGGAAAAATGCATAATTTGACAAAATTGGCTGTAACATTTTTATTAAGTCATTAAACTATCCAAATTATGTCTTTGATTACAGATAATATGTTCGGTAATCTGCATTTGGCAAACATTTTGTTTCATTTAACTGTTACTCTTATTCTCAGTGGAAACATTGGTAAAAATCATGGGTTTTTTTTACTTCATTTTCACATCTTGTGAGTAGGTAAAACACTAATTCCATTAAATTGTGACAATAAAACCACTATAACTGGGTATTAAAATCTGCCTTAACCATTGTACTATCCTACACAAAAAACAAAATGAAAATATATTACATACGGGTTGAGATATTGTATACAATGTTACTCCACCCCCCAAAAAACAATTTTGACGAAAATTGCATATTGAGATATGGTGGTAGATGATGTTGCTGTAGTGGATGAGTGGGATAATTGAAACAATGCTTAAAAACACCAAACTAGTAAATTCATAAAGAAAAATGATGTTTTAAATTTTTCTGAGTGCATTTAT